ATCTATCCAGGCTTTCCAGTCCAAAGATACGAGTTCAGTGTCCCCCCGCCAAAGGGGCGAGATCTAATCTGCTTGCAGGAAACCTTCTTCCACTCTGCACGTTACATTCACAAACTACTGGATATCGTTGGATAGGTCGTCGAATGTGCTCACACAGTAGAGCATTCTAGATTAGAAACAACATTTTTTTTTTATAGCGTTTTAATATTTAAAAAAAAAAAGTGTGCTTCTCATCCAAATTTGATAATCACGTACATTTTTAAGAACGATGAGAAAAAGCAGGGGAAAGGACGAGCGATAAAAGTATGTTACCAGGTAGGATGAGGTAAATTTAAGATTTGGACAAGGACTTTCGATACTCCTTTCTTTCTTGATGACTCTACCTAATTTAATGACCATTAAAAACGGAAAAATCACGTAAAGTCTGTGAAAAAAATATAGTAATAAACAATCAACTCGAGCATTTACATTATAACTGACGCCTGCTCTTCGCCTCCTGTGCCTGTTCAGGCCATTTGACGCACAATAGCAATCATCATTTTATTCTATATCAAAGCATATTAGTACAAATCTTCGATGCCATACAAGGTAAGCCCAATTCATTATTATAAATCAACTATTTAATCAAACGAGAAAATACTCTCCTTTTCCACTACATTCCGTTAGCACTGTTTTAAAATTGGAAGTGTTTCTAGCCAAACCTATATATTTGTTCCACAAACAAATATGTTGGCAGACGTTTACTGATAATACGTTGCTAGGTAATTCAAGTAATAGTTAGGTAGACCGCCTCAACTTACACAGCTTCAAAGTACTATGATGTAATTCCATCTCTTTCCGTTTCTAGTTTGTTTCTGTCTCCTAGATTCTTTAAAATGACGTTAACTGATCTATGTCACTGTATTTCGTTATGATGTTCGCACGAACAAAAACGTCAACAACGGTTGTCCTTTTTGTCTGGCAGGCTTGCTGTGTGTGGGCCTAGACGAACTAGTTTTTGGTAACGAGTTTACCTCAGAAACACAGTACAGATATGTGTTAGTATGTCTCGGTAAATCGGACCCGTTGCCTCGAAATAGATGAGAAAAACAAAAGAGCAATTTAGATATAATGCATTAATTACTTAATCACAAATTACTTACTTTTAAATGGGAGCTCACCAATACACTACAGAGCTAATTTTTTATAGCTATGTCTTTTATATATAGTTACTAAACTTCTATATATAATTAGCATGTCTTTATAACGTGCTTGAACCACCGAAGCGTCACTTTTTTAAAGTATAAAAGTTGCGAAACTTTACAGGAAGTGACAAAACAGCCAGCTCGTGTGTATGGGATCCGAGTTGGAGCGATTGCCGTCATCTTAGTCCTAGTATCGGCTTGATTGTTGTCAACTCAGTATTCTGAGGAGGATGAATAAAGATCCGTGATCTGCCGAATTTTGTTTCGTAATCGATTCAGGTTCGATCATACGGGCCAGTAGTACAAATACTGAGCCAAGTATTTAATATGTATTCGTCATCGTGTACATATATTTTTTAGAAAAATTTGCTTACCGTTATGCATTGGCTTGCCGTCACCTATCATCAGTAATCGGTGATTGTTTACACACACGTGATCCTAATAACGCAAACAACGTCAGACGTAGTCCATCCTTCATTACCGTCTCCATATCGATTCGTTGGATAATGCTTATAACGCGAAGATGATCGGCTGACTTTCGTTGTAGACACTAACAGCGGTCTTTTGAATGTCTGTTATCGGCCTGATTTTCGATTTGAGTTTCATGGCTTGAAAACTCGCGAGGAAAAAGAAGCACCAGGCAGCGAAAATGTGGCCCGCCTCATTCATTCATCAATCTGTTTCACTGCAGGTGGGTGCTGGTGCCTATGCTAGAACGGTCCTATTGGCCAAGTCGTTTGCTAGAAATGGCAGTAATTCATCAAAAAATGCTTAATTTATTCGGCGGCCGCTTGCAAGCGCCATCTCGTCGACTTCTAGCAAACGTATTCTTGGGATTGTGTTGTAGCCAATGGCATCTTTGACCGTAAGCGGCAATGCTATTCTGTCTACGCAGCTTCTGCCTTAGTCGCTTCCTTGGAACCGTTGCAATTTGCAGCGCCATTAACTCGTACCGTCATCACTGTTCAAAAACGATTCTTGTTAGTGAATGGGCATCATCGGTGGTTCTGCTGTCTGCGCCTCGTCCACATACGTACTTACCACTTTTCAACTGTTTTGAAATATGTAGCTCCTGTCAGCGCACATTTGAAAGAAATCGAGAAGGAAAACATATGTACGCATTGATCGACGCGGACGAATCCACGCTCATGTTCATCCCGCCTATCTCTAAAATTTGTATGGTTAAATAAAATCGTTAAAAAATCAAATCGTAGGAAGAACAACGTGGAGTACAGAAGAACGATAGAAGAATGGCGTTCACCGAAAGCGTCGTCAGCGAATCGGCAGCACTAGCGATTGCCGCGATTGTTATTAGCTTCGTTGGCGTTTCTGCTGTTGTTAAGGGATAATCATGTTGACTCAGATCGCCACTACTCTGACACTATGGCGTCCGACGAGCGGCAGCGGCTCGACTCATGCTGAGGAAAAGTTTGTCGTTGTTTGTGCGCTCATCAATGAAGAGACGTCAGTAAGTTCGGCTGTTTGCGGGGGTGGCTTGAAAACCCGGAGATGTGCAGCTTTGCTTAACATTTAGGGGGCGAAGGAGCGTCGCGTACGGCCCTCGTTACGCTCACTGGAGTAGAATAAAACTCAACAAGATAATCACTGTGTGATCACCATAGTTAGAAAAAAAAGTACGCCGTTCTTTTGAAATTTACTAATGACACATGGAGATATTTTACAGGGGCGTCAAGATTACACGAGCATCTGTACGTTACTGTGCGTGTCCCAAGAAACGGAAAGAACGTCGTGTCATTTGCCATGCGCTGAATGATGTCATCGAAAACTTCAAATTGGCGATGGCTACTTTTGTAGGCCATTACGAATACAACGGCGCCCCTGGAGTACAGGTGTAAACTTTTGGTCAGTTATATAGTATAGATAGTATGAATAGTATTTCGTTCAAATAGCGGTAAGCCACATACGTTGACTAGTATTCATAATAGATCTCCCAGGGCACAAAGCCAATCTGAGTCCCGCATTGCCCTCGTTCCACCAGAAACTGCATTATTATGTAGGATTCACCATTGGTTTACTCAACGGCCACATAATGTACCCAGCTTTCTACTGATACTGCTCCTAACGGTAACCAGAAACGCGGTCATTTTTTTTTTTTGTTTAATAGTGTTTTTCAAACATTTTATATATCCGTTTCGAAAATAAGCCCGTTAGTTGTTAGCGGCCGCTAAAAGCTAACGGGCTTATCTTCGCTGAAAAATGAAATCGTCGACTGCAAAGTTGAGTCTGTGCGACTACTGAAAAACAGTGAATTTATTATAGTCGTTAGCAAGAGATGACAAACAAAATAGATAATCAGTTCAACGGTAGAATAACAGAATAGTAACTTTTATCGTTATATCTCTAGCGGACAACAAGAGATCGATGAGCGGGTGGCGCTACGTCAACGATGATGCATGCCAATGCTTCGTCTGCTGACACAATCCGGGAATATTCATTGAATGCTAAGTAATTTTCAGTTCATTTCCCCGAACTTTCTTTCTCGTAACTGAACTATTATGATCATAGATTCATGCTAATGAAGACATTGTTTTCCCGTAATTAAATTGAATAACATCGAAATAATGATCGATCGACCGACACGGCATGTTTGGCTTCTGCTGTTGTTATTATCGTCGCCAGAGTGATAGAATAACAGCCAACAAACGACATCTATTTTGTCCATATATTGTGATCCATGAGGCCATTATTTCACATATGCTTGCAATAAACACGAAAACTGATTTCAAATTATCACAGTAATAAATACAATATAATTAGAAAATATTAATAAACCCACAGGTACTTCGCTTCATATCTTCAATAACTTGTTCCATATTTGCAATTTATAGAAAAAAAGTGAGATTTAGAGAAGTATTTGTATCGCTTATTTCTAATAGAGCTACAGCATTAACTAATATGTTCATGTTAAAACTGGCACGACAATTAAATAAATTATAATTTAAACTTGTTAAAAATTATAAGGGCTTTCCAGAATAGGCGAACGCTAGCTTTGGTCATTGATAGATAGATCATTTGTGAGCCAAACGGTAGACAAAGCAGAGCGAACCAATAGCCGCCGTCCATTCGCGCCTCTTGTCAAAGGCTCTGCATACAGTCTCTATGTGAAACAGAACACGGGGGAAAGCAGAATAACCTAGAGAAGACGATCGAACTAAAAAATACGGGAAGTACTGGATGAAGCAAAAACCATTTCATTAGTAAAGCGTAGGCAAGGATAAATTATAGCGAACATTATGAAAGAGTAGTTTTTTCGGTAACATGTGTCGTACATAAAAAATGTATTTATACGCTTAACTCGTTCAAATGCACGAAAGTAAAGAAGATCTGTATATAAATAATGCGAATCCAAGAACGTAATCTAGTCATCGTTAACAACAGGTAAAATGAGCAGATCCATAAATGCATGATATAAGGTTCGAAATATACTTAGCTAAACTTGTAACAGGTTTACATCTGGAGGCGCAGAACCGTATGGAAAAAAGACAAGCGTCAGCTTAGACCGTAATCCCGTATGGAAACTCTGGATCCGATGTCTAAAGTCAAATGTTATGCTTTGCTGCTGGGAGAAGAGCTAGTTGTAGCCAATATTATCGGAAAGCTCCTTGATTTTACGGCAGTACAATAAGAACAATTCAAAATTTTCGATCATCTATAATTATATTGGACATAGGGACAACTACATAAGGCTCCCCCTCGAACTACCATAGATGTATGTTCGCCTGATACCCCACTCTAGTTCGTCACATATAATAATAGCTTGCTTCTGTTTTTACAGAATATGTTATTAGATCATTAGAAAAACTTACGTCGGTTTCTATCGGCCGGTGTCGTCGGTAGGCAGTTTGCTGCCGGCGTCCGGGTTCAAACCCACACCACAGTGAGTCCTTAAGCAAATTGGTTACCCACTAAGCTAGCACTTGAAAAGGTTAAAAAATACTGATAAATAACTACCGTGCGCTTTTATATTACGCGTTGATTTTAATCAGATTGAACTCTGCGCATCATGCGGTATTGATAATAATATACAGCACCGATTCAGGCATCAAATTAGACCCGCGCTCTCAGTCCAGCGTGCACTTGTGTTTCTTACATTCGAAATAAAATATTGAAAAACGTTCCATGGCTATTCAAATTAAAAAGTATATGCAATCATCAAGAACCGTGTGGCAAGGCCACAAACCGAAAATTGATCAGACCGTACATTAAGTATTTAAATAGAAGAGGTTTCAACTAATGAGCCCATTCCAGCTATATGTTAAATAAGAAATTATAAATTATTTCTGCCGTACAAGCATATATATATAACACGCTTTGATATGGTTTGTAAAGAGTTTTCTCCAGCGAAGGATGTGCAGATTTGACATGTGAATCAGAAAGGGTTATAGTTACATATGTATATGTCGGACTACTGGAGTAGTTAGACATTGTTGAAATTGAAAAAAAAATCATTTTTGAAAAAAATACCGCCACTGCAGAAATTGTTGTGAATTTTTTGGCAAATCTATAAGCGCCGAGTTAATTTCTGTATAAGCTTAGTCAATTTGAAAGACTGAAAATACACCCAAAAATAAAAAAAATCTTTCCACCCATTTTCAGAACTGCTGATTTGGTCTGTCAGCACCACATTTGTGTTTTCGTTAGAATGGACGGACCGATGACAAAAAAAGCAGCTTTTGGCGGTGTGACCTTTTGGCAAGGTAAAGAACACTCCCGTAATCAGCGAGCCTCTGTTACAGGTCAGAATGCCTAATGTGGGGGGCGGGAATACTTAGCGCGCCACGAGCAGGCTTTCGTTAGGTATACAGATGTATAATCAGGACAGGCAAGTTAAACATCGTAGTTATATACAACCAGTATACCTACAAACTAAATAGATCATTGCTCATAGTCAGCATCACACGTATAAACCAGAAACGATGGCTATTTAGAAGTTCACTTCAAATACTCGCTATTCTAGGATTTTAATGTGATTATTCCTTAGTTTATTTAAAATGACAGTAGCACATGTTCATATAATATTTTGTATTTCTTTTGTCATATAGAAAATTATATAGCCAATTGATATCCATTTAGATTGTGCAATTTCTCATGAATAGCTGGCCTTCTGAGTGACAACACAACTACCGATTTGATTTAGTAAAGCAATTGATTGCTGAAATTGAGGTCTTCAGTATTTTTCAGTTAATTTAAAAACGGATCTAGCTTCATTCGATAGAAGTCATTTAGGTCAGCAGCATAGGGTGGAAACGCGTACTAAACATCTCCCTTTGACTAATCCTTTTAATAAAACAACTGATCAAGATTTTAAAATAGAAAAAAACGTTGTGTTTGTGACACGGAACTTCATTGCCGTGGTACTATCTATCGGTGAGAAAAACCAGGCACATCATATTGTTAGGCTGGTTAATCGTTAGCGATAGGTTTCCGCGATGGGTCAGTGGTATGGACTTTCCTATATAATATAGAAAGATCGTGACCAGTTTAGGTTCAAAACCGAACCTAAACGCATCTTAGTTTATGCGGGGAGTCAGCCATATGAAACGATGCCTAAAGATCTGTGTGCTTAAAGATAAGCGGCACGTGACTGGTTCAAATGCGTTATGATCTCGATGATTTTGGATGCAATATACAAAAGGCGATAACGCGCGCCAGATCAAATACCAGAAATTTTGGTAATAGCTTCGAAAACTTACTTTGGTTCATTTCGGTTTTCGGTGATGATGATGACGTTTTACTTTCGCTTGTGAGCGGTCCCATATTATCAATAGCATTCGACCAGTATTGTACACACCCAAAAGTTGTTCTCTTATAACGTCCTTTTGTGAAACCCAAAATTTCCAGCGCAAATCACTATGTTAGAGGCCTATCCTCTAACATAGTGAACGCAGGTTATTCTAAAGCGATAAAGAAGCAAATCTATTTACGGGATTTTATAACATCCTATAATGTTTTCTCAACTTGTCCTCTACCTCAGCCTACATGGTTTGGGTTCGACGTCCGGTATCAATCAGACTGCTGGTTTCCAGCACAAACCAAATATGCCCCCGCCCGCAGATTCAAATCCAGGCCACCGCAATCTCCCAGTAACCCCCTGTATGGTCCTAATCTACCACACCCACCTACATGCAAGTTGCCCTGCACCACCGACGCTATTAGGTGTCTGTGTACCTATTTTGTGCCGTCTTAAGATCATTATATCGAACTGCCAACAGATGAATAAATACCCGTAATAATGCAGTGGTAACGCATTTTCCTATTAAACTGAAGAATATGTGGAGTGGGCAAGCTTCAAAACTGAACGTAGACACAGCTTATTTCGGGTTGGGGCAATGCTTCACAGCGGTGTCCCACCTAAAACTCGAAAACTTTTTTTTAACAAACATGTAAAAAGTCAGACGATCAATCGAAATCGAATTTATAGTCATCGTATACGGCTAATCATACACAGACCAAGATACCCTGAGGACGGGCGTTCCACCTGGAAAGTTTAGGCGGAAAAGCTCGTCGATACTACTGCAGATGTTGTTGTTGCTGTTGCCTGTACTTGACGGTGCGTAGTAGGTACTCGGGACTCGGTAGTCGTCGGTTGTCTATGATATTCCAAGCAGGGAGATGTCCATCGACGTGGAAAATGAGTTTTTGTCTTGCTATTCGCCACTGCTTGGAGCCGGCATTGCTGCTACTGCTATGGGAACGCTTACGGCTTGGCCCACGATAGTTCCCCGAATACAGCGCCTCTCACAAAAACACCGGCGGTACTCGCACGCGGATGGCTGTCTTTGGATCTGTCCATGTGAATAACTGGACTTGACTGGGGAAGAGAACTGCAACCGTATGCAGTGCTGCCAGCTCCATCTAGTGGGAGAGACCAGCTGAAAGGACAGGCAGTAGGAGGCTACAGAGCAGGTTGACGGGCGCAGCTGCTGAAGCGAGAGACGGAGTCTGAAGACAAACGAAGACGAAGAAAGAACCAAGACAAACGAGAGAGGAAAAAAAGAAGACGCCGAAAGAAAGATAGAACGAACTTTTTTACGCCCCCACGAAGACCGGCCTAAGAGTCAACAGGAGGCGATGAAGAGGGTGAGGAGGATGAAAAAACCGCCCGCTTTTAGGGGAACGAACGTGGGGTAAAGGACTTCAGCGACGGGTGAGCGAAGGCCTCGGCGAAAGTTGGAAGTACCGCGGTGGATGCGGACGAAAACGAACCTAGGCGTGAGGAGGTGACACTGAAAAGGCGAAAGGACCTATATATATATATATATATATATATATATATATATATATATATATATATATATTCAAGTCAGAATATAAAAGTCATAAGAGGCGAAGAACTCGGAGCTGCTGCTTTCCTTTCCGGCCCGCCTCGAATCCATCTAAGCGTCAGTCCCGTCAGTCTTGAATCATCTGCTGGGTCTGGCACAACGATGGCCGGACGGGGGCTGCGTTAAGGGACAAAAAAGAGGGATTGAGAAACAGATAAGTAAAATCGAGATACGCGTGTATGTGTGGGTGTCTATTGGTGCCTGTGAAAACGCGTGAAGGGAGAGGCTATATGAAACAAGTTTTGAGTAGAAAAAACAAAATGGAGCCCGAGGGGGCGGACGCGAGGGGTTGGATAGGGGTAAAGATTGGGGATTATTTGGATTTGTTACAGAAGCTGCTCCCGCCGGCCCGCAGTGCGTCTAGCATTGGTGATCACAGTACTCATACAGTAGCCTGAGCCTTTCAGATAAAGCTGTGGATTTCCGTTCCAGGCAGAGTGACAACTAGAACTTGACAGAAAAAAATGTTGAAAGCGTGGCAGGTAACCGTGCGACGTAGAAATGGCCTTGCTATTACTTCTCTTTTAATCAAACGATTCAATATAATCATACATAGAATTTGCGCTTTGAAGATAAGGCTCAAAAATTGAGCAAGTTATAAATAGAGAGGCAGTAATTATACGGTTTTGGTTTTTTGCGTGGCCATGTTATTATCCTAGGCTATAATGCGCTTGCTGTAGGACACCAAGCCCGGCAAACAGGTACAATGATTAGCCCGTCCTTTAGGAATATAGGTTCCACTCGTAATGTGCCTTTACGTTGTTTTCGGTTGAACGTCGTTTCGAGGCTCAACGGAGAAAAAGCAAAGCAGCCCAATATGCCTTGTTTTTGGCGCTGTTGCATGTTATTTGGAATAGTTGTGAAGATATTTTTTAAAGGTTAATGTAATGCACGTGTGAACGATACAAAAAATCATACATCTATGAGAGATTACAATAATATTATAATAAAATAGTATGCTTACCAGTTTGACCAACCTTGTTCAGACGGTAGATAAGCGGTGGCATAATCGAAAAATTATAAAGCTAGGAATTAGAATTGTCTTTGATTGTCTTCATCGTTTAATTAAATTAAATGTCAGATCAATAGATATTAGTTGATTATTTCGAGTCAGTAATTTAAAGTACATCTAATACTCATGTAGGTACAAAATAAAGTTTGAAAACTAAACGTTTCAAATTATGGTCAAATACATCACCACCTGAAACATAACTATCTAGCCATTCTTGCAGCTTACGTTCCAGTACTTATCTATGCCAATATCACTCTAAATTCATAACGAAATTTTGAGATTTCTGTATATCGTCAATCGATTTTTTAATGTTAAAATTAAAATTTTAGGATTTTGTTTTCAAAATTGAATTTCAGCTTAACGCAATCGTTCGTTAGTCATCGTATTGACTATTATCGTATCAATGGAAGTCTCTCTACTCTCCAGGTAACAACAATTTCTGCATATGCTCTAACATACTCACATACTATATATATGTAAATAGTGTCAGCCGCCTGGATATATATCAACTAGCTATCTCATCTAAAAGTGGACGCCGCCCATCATATGTGCCACCCAAAGTGACCGTCAACAAATCAAGCCATGGGAACCTACGAGCAGCTTAAAGGTGGCAGGCCTGCTGGCTGGTCATATCAACAACACCCACACGACAAGCGGCGTTGCGAGATAGAACTCAAAATCAAAGGGGCGGAGCCCCCCGCCGATCGGTATTGGCTTGCACGTGCGCCCGCTGCAGACTGCCATAGTCAGAATCTGTTTCCGCCGCAGTAGGAAAAGAATTTAGGATATCGTAGCACGTTGCACATTAGTGACTCGTGAAGCATCAATGCATCAAGACGACGCTCAGCTTAATCTACTAACGTGAGTTCATCATGAGCGTGACAGGCTTACCGTTTGCGGACCGTGAGTCTCATTGTGTTAGCTTGCGACTGCGAATGAATTTCGCCACCTTCAAAAGTATTTTCTCTACTTTTAAGTAGGTAGTATTATGATTATCTATATCGTTCTGATTATCTTTACTACAATGCGCATTCGACGGCGTGCTTGTTAAGTAGAATATTAAAAAAGGAAAAGTTATCTATAACGGGGGAATATAACAAGAAAGCATACTTTTTTTTTGATACATATTTTTTTTTTCGCCTTTATCGAGCCCGTTAGTGTATTTAAGTGAAAATTTGAATTTTTTTGAAACTTAAAAAATTGTATTACCTCAAGCTATATGTGTATCAATGAAAATGTCACCTGTTCCAGTACGCGCAACAAATCTGAATACATCATGTTAGAGGCCATCATTATTTAGCACACCGTTTCTCGTATTACCAAAATCCTTAAAATCATGACAGGTATATCTCATTGGCATCTATAGACCATACGACTGATGTCACTGATTATCGTTCTACGGGCCATGATAAATCTGATCAGATTTCCTCTATCTGTGTGGTCTTGCCACCTGTACTCTTAATATCACAGTTTTTGGTTCCTACAAACATTTGCCATTGTTGCCACCCTCCTATAATTACGCAAACGTACAGTACATAGTAAACGTATGTCATATTAGTAATGTCAGCTTCATTATATATAGATGCCAGGCCCAGTAGCGTATGCTGTGCTTATGTTTTTTCAGCGTCAAAGCTTCCGACTGAGGCTGAATTGTTGCATTTTCTTTGATCGATTCATTTCAACGAACTTCCTTTCTAAATTGCCTGAATGTGTATTTAGTGTACCTCAATATATCAACAATGTCTTTATATCCGCAATTATGTTCGTCAGCTTCTCCGATATGCGACAAACGCGTTTTGCAATAAACTAACCAATGACGTTTCTGATATCCTGCTGTTCAGGCGTAATAACAAGCTTAGCAAATCTAATTTATATACACAATAGGTATTTGCACTTTACAGACGTCGTCTACGACGAGCAGTCTATCTAGCAGTTAGTGGCGGACAATTCAAAGGCGAAGAGATTATTTGTTCGGTATACACGACGCCGTATGCATCTGTTGTATGCACAATGTACCAAGCAGTAGTTTATCCTAGGAACGGAGTGTACAGTTGACACACAAGTGGACCTTTTCCTTCCATTCATTTACCACACTTATTCTGTGGATTCGAGCGTGGCTTGAACAGTAATAACAATACAATGAGCTAAAGTGACTAGAGAGTAAGGAGCGAACGTTCATTGCAACTACCATCCCCCGTTCACAATCTAAAACTTAGGCCTCCCTAGACCTTCCCTAAAGATGGGCATTCTATATAGTCCTTTTGGTGCCTGCGGTAACACCACATGCATTTGAAGAGTGCGCCACATTCGCCAGTGGCGCGCTTTTCAAATACGGCTCTGACAAACACCTTTAGTACAAGAACAGCTTTTCTATCGCCCGCATTGAATACTTTTCCCCCCAATCCTACCCACGATGAGCAGGTTTATCCTCTGAGACAGAACCGCTACCAGTCGAGCCTACAGAACCCCGGCTAACGCAGCTCTCATTGCCATTGTACTAAGCTAAACTAGTTTGCAGAGCGTTTCCACTGCTGGCTCAAAATGTGTCGACAGTCGCGCAGGAAACCAGTTTCGAGGTCAACTATAGCGCACACAAAAACTGTTACCTGACAGGACGCAGAATACTCCTTGTCAGCTACTTTCGTTGCGCTGATGTGGCGATCGATTCGATATCAGTACGGATCCCAACTGTTATAAGGTAGAGGAGACGAACGTGAAAGACGCTTAACGACCACACAACTACAAACTCGTGAGGTTGCTGGTGGACAGCTTCCACAGCTTAGGGCTGGCCTTCACCCTTATCTCTATGATCTGGGAAATTGGTACGGGGCTGTTACCGGTAGACGACGCCGGAGGCGCCCCGCTGTTGCGCTTATTGGCATCACTCAGTCATTCTGTTGTGGCGACGGGTAAGAGTGCAGCAATATCGAGAAGCGATAGATTAAAAGAAACGCTGTTTGGTCTCAGGAAGTTTCTGACCGGTAGAAATAGCTACGCAAGGGAGGTAAAACTCTTGAGGTGGCTACCTATACATATATAGGCTTTGGGATCGTCGCTTTCTACCTAGCCTTCACTCACCACTTTCGAAGGACCGTGAATCATCCGCCATTGTTCTACGATCCCCTGCGTGCTGACATTAGCTAGCGAAAAACTAAGTCTTCAACAGAAACGTAATTGATGAGAACTTTGTGTTTGAGTGACGATTGGTACATCCAATATGACTTTTCCGCATCTACATTCCACACTGTCAGTAAATATGCATGCAGAAATTCTTCGATTTTTTTTTTGTAGCACAAATACACTGTGTAGTAAAGTCTAATGATATATGGGATGTTAGTGCAAGGGCAATTTTTAGGAACGCTAATCCACTCATATTCAGTATTATCGTGCAAGCATTAGTATATGCATCTATGTTTAATGTCAAGCAGCGATATTCGAGTGGCACACCTACATGGACAATCACTTTAAAAAAATCAGCTCATTCCCCCACCGTTTATATCAATTGAGCAAAAAAAAGCCGGACTGTGCCGATATTATATCAAAATTCGATCGTATACAGCGGACATCCATTGCTTCATATCTGTAAGATCTAAATAATAAACACTTATTGTTAATAAACCAAACTTGTATTGCGATATATTTGATCAAAAGGGATGAAACTTTGCGGGCCTTATGGTCGGACTTACAGGCAGCTACAGAGCCAATAGGTCTCTCCGCATAGTTGAAAATTCAACAAAGGATATGAGTCTACTTTAGAACGGAGATGGTCACGTATTACTTCTATGTTAAGTAACGTATACTATTTCAGAGAGCAACTTTGTGCTTGCTTAGGGGTATTGGCGCATTCATACCTGCGCCTGTTAGCTTACCTCTGTTACCTCTGCAATACATTATTTTTCATACGATCATGAAGCTGAAAGTGAAGTTAGTTCATCTAGTATTTCATATATGCTAATGATAGGTATAAAGTCATACTTTGGTAGAAGAAAACATTTCGTTGCAGAATCGCGCACTATGTGTGCCAAGGTTTTGTTTGGCCATATCTTCGTGATCGCATTCTGCTGTATTCCCAGATGAGACCAACAAAGCTTTGTAGTCCAGATGATAACCCCGTGCTTACGAAAAACTGCTGCGATCATTCAACCAAGAGTATCCATGATCAAAAGCATTATGTGGACTCAAATTTTTTTGAGTCAGTTACTTCATAAAAGAAGTTTTGAAAATTACGAATTCATCAGACCGACATCGTCACGGTCTACGTTTACATCGGGAAACCCGTTCTACTCTTAGCGTCAATCTTCCATTCCAACCTCGCCCTAATTCGCTTACCCGTGTCTGTTCGACTGAGTACACGGAGCACCCAACAACGAACAGGTTCTCAGGGTTAGAAAGCGCAACAGAAAAAGAAGCAGCGGCAGCACTGTCTGAAGGACTGTATAGACCGCGTGATCGGCTGCCGTGTAGCTTCTCAATTTCGTTCGACAACGACGACTGCAAGAAGAGAGACAGAAAACGGATGTCTCACTCCATGACAGGCCTTTAGCTTGTTCGCAATTCATGAAATCTTCTTGCATGAAGGCGCGGGAAGAGACTCGCGTCTCCACTCGTCTTCGTAAGATGAACGCGACGAGGCCGAACGAAGAACATCCATTCGGTTAGTCGACTGTCTCAAGCGCACAACAGCAGTCTACGCGGGAGCGCGTCAACAGGTAGACCCTGTCCCAAAGAAAGAAAACAACACGACAGCAACGCCATTGCCACTGCCTCGCGTGGATGGCCGGAAGCGAGATACAAGAAGTACGTTTATCCACACACACCTACGAACACGTACACACACACTTCTGTCTGTGTGCAGAAAAATACCTGGCATAGCTTGCGTTTATTCACACTTGGCAGTGGTCGCTGCATTATGGCCTGGTAAGGACTATTGGAAAGGCAAAGTTGGACAGTCATAGGGCGAAACCTCGCTACAGAGAAAGACAGCCAAACCTAAATACTAGTCTTCTACAAAGACGTCCACACAGGGCATAAGCAAGACAAGCATAAATACAACCATAGGCTAGCAGACATGTCGATCTAAGCGGAGACCCACACTCGCAGGACACATTTATTTTGTATAAGGAAGGACGACAGCCTGTTCTGCACGCGCGTTCCGCGATGCTGGCGTACGTTGCATTGACATCAACACTAGTGCAAAGAATGCAAAGACAAGATGTCGGGAACCATCTACAAAGTTGCACTGTATTGTAATCTACCATCCCTGTAGCAAAACCTGTAAGACCTTATGACGAAACCTGAAGGACAGGCGATGATGAAATTATTCTTGATATTGTTGTATCAAATGAAGTACGCATCGTTGACGATAATCTATGGACGCTTGTGGGTCTAAGTAAAAGGATGTGTTCTACTAACTTGATCTCTCAGATGAAATGTTACGGTAACAGGTCCTAAGAATCTCTTAAGTTTTTAGACAAGTTGCGTATAAGTTATTTAGAAATAAGATACTCATCTATATTTTGCTAACTTGATTCAGGTTAACAAAATCATTGATATCATCGATTTTCTCGGTCAAGCTAAGGTTTTCCTAAGCGTTCCTAATTTATTATGTAAAAGTATGGTTAATTATAGACTATCAACACTCTAACAGTGATCATAACTAGACGATAAGAAAAAGAGTGACGATACCTTATCATGCCCGCAGATCTGATGGGTTCCAATTCGCACGTAGATCCACTCCGTTTCGCGATGGGTATCAGCTGTCTGACGAAATGGCTAACGGCTGTGTTGGAGGTCAAACTTGAAACATTGCTTTAGATCCGATGGAACAAAAACACCAATTTGTAGCTCTTAAAAACGGAAAGCTCTTTCGAGACCTAAGTGTATATATATGTACTATGACCATAATTTAACGTCGTCGACGATATTTTCCTGATTCCACATCTGGA